TACTCTCAAGGCAGTCAAATGTTCTCAAACGCCCCGCTCCTTCGAGACTTAGCCATCAACCATGCGAGTTTTATTCACACACTCGGATTCCCAGCACACCAGTTGGAAAAATTGACAATCTTCAACAGCTCATACTTGAGCGAAATTCTATCTCCGCTTCCGCAGCTTGTGTCGCTCAGACAACTTGTCCTCGGCGCCGAATGCCAGCTCATTATCGACTCGGATACCGGCTTGGATTCCGTGGAACGCATCACAATGCCTTTTTTGACGACAATACGTTTCTTTGGAGAGGATACCTGCAGATTAATGGCGTTTTTGCTGGTCCCCAACCTCAAAAGCCTGCACATCTCGGGAATCGGTGAAAGTAGTGCAGAGGTCACCGTCCCCGACTGTCTGTCGTGCTCCTCCGCCCACGTAGTTTCGTTATCGCTCGCGGATACCATCTCTTCGCGGTTTACCATGCTTCTGGAAAATCCGGTCATCAGCGATACGCTCCAGGAGCTCACGGTTACCTCGCTCAAGACAACTCCCAGCGACGACGACGCCCTGCCCGCCCTCCTCTCCCCGCCTCGACTTTCTTCCACACATACAATCGCTGACGCTTGCCGCGCCCACCACCATGCGGTCCCCATCTGTCCTCCGCCTGTTTCTGCATGGAATGAGCCGGCGCGTGGCGAGCACGGCGGCAGCACGGTACACGACAGGAAATGAAGCTGCAGCAGTTCCTTGTTGAGCCTCATACACCAATAATGCCTGAGGAGGAGGAGGATATGCACGCGCTGCGCGATCTGCAGCAAAGCTTGAACAATGCAAACTCTGCGCGTCCATAGGCATGAAGTCAAGCTTCAGCGTGTTCTAATCCCACTGTTCATACTGAATGGAACTGAGGAAAATCTACGGGGGTTGCGCGATCCGGAACAAAGTCTGCATCAATTAGACAAATGATCTGAACTTGTGTCTTAGACCAGGCTGGTACAGGAGGACTACGCGGGGCAAAGAGAAAATTGTGTAACTTACATGTACACAAATCTCTCTACACGAAGGAGTTCTTGCACGACGAGATGATCAAGCCGATGGTCTGGCCATCGAAATCACCCGACCTCTCGCCAATCGAGAACTGCTGGGCCCACCTCAAGCGGGAAATTTGCAAACACCCGCGGTACACGGTAGCGAAGACACAGATGGATCTGTATCGGATGGCTAGGGAGGTTTGGCGGTCTCCTGAGTTCAAACAGTACACATTCACACCTATTTTTCCTTTCCTCGGCGTATCCAAGCTCTCAAAGACAATAATTTTTACTGGATTGACTACTAGTACTTACTTACTACATCTAGTTCACTGTATCTCTTGAAAAATTGAAAATTGGCGCATTTTGATGGTATTTTGGCTGGTGGGAATTGTGACTACCTAAACAGGAAGCTGCTTATATTTTCGCAGTAACTGTACTGCATGCCTAAGCTGTACTGCTGTGGCAAGTGTGGTTCTTAGTTCAGGCTGAAATAGCAATTCAATATTTGTGGATTTTGTACTCGGCGGCGATTCGGCGCTAGTCCTACAACTTGAAGTCCAGTAAGCTACAGAATGAATCATAAAATCGGTAGGGTAAGTGGTAGTAGGTAGTAGGTAGGACAAAGAAAAAAAGATGTAGAACCCGATTGGGCAAGAGAATGGGCAAACAAATCCACCGAAGTCGATAGCATTTTTTGTAGTGTGATTGCCCGCGACGAGCGTTGTGACCTATATCCCGCACGCTCATACCCGCAACCAATGGTTTCCACAGTGATGTAGTCGCAGTGGCGCCGAAGCCTGGGGACAAAGACCATTTGGCAGCATATACGGCCAGCTAGAGTCCTGTTTATCCACCGAAGGGTTACTGCAGAAGAGTGAATGCAGTCGGTCACACTCCAAAAGCATCTTCCGAGGAACTGGGGGGCCATTTTGTCCAAGAAGCGTCAGGCCGCGAAAACGCGCTCGAAGAGGGCCTTCGCGTCCGATGTCGGGAGTAGTATGGATGCTTCGATATGATAGGATGTCCATTCATCAGGATATATGGTCCAAAGAGTCGTATGTGGCATGTGTGGGGACTTGCAAATCGCTCCCTGACGGCGTGACGGTGACATGTGTGATGCGTGACGGTGACATGTGTGATAATTCTCGGAAGGGTGCGAAAAAAAAAGAGGAATTGAGCGACTTCGACAATGAAGGTGGCTGATACAGAGCAGGGGGTAACGGGGAGCTTGTGTCGGGTGGAAAAGGTCGTGAACAGCCTGTTCATGGCGTTTAAGACCGTAAATTCTTGAAAAGCGGCTTCCTCTGGTGTGGTCGTGTATGCGACAGAGTCAAGGATACGGTAGTCGAATGCGGTGTTGTCTGTGTGAGTTACAGTTGATATATCGGTGGGGTGTATGACAATAGACGTGAAAATTGAGTTTTCAAGCCGGAAGGCCTCTCAGGATTGCTTTTTGAAGGCGAAGACAGCTTTTCTGGAGGAATACGTTATTAATGAGTAGGCAGGGCTCGAAAACGACACGCACCACGGTGACACCCGTCGGAAGCTCTCGTTGTTACTCGTTGTCGCAGAGAAGGAGGGTCCAGCATACACACAAGATATACTCCAGCCTGCAAAACCTAGTCAGCGAGGCAATGGACAAGCGAGTGTAACGCACCCTTGGCCAGACACCGATGGAAGCAACAAGTCTGGAGCCCATGCTGCCGAGATGAACGACAAGAGAAAGCAGTCTTGGATGGTTGGTCGATTCAAGGAGCTTATGTGTTGCTCTTGCTCTTGCTCAGCCTCGCCCTCCCATCTTGGATACGGCCTGTCGCCAGGCGTCTCCTAAGATCAGAGAGCTATCCGAAGCTCCAATGGCGACTACCTCCCAACGGCAGAGAATATTCAATACGCCAACGACCTAACAACTTGCAACGAGTCAAAGAGGGAATAGTGCTAGAATTCGCCCACAGACCTGGCGATAGCATCTTCCCTGACGTTGAGTATAAGGAAGCTCAGGGGAGCGAATCCTCGAGAGCGAGCAAGGTATGAGAATCGACATCGTTGTCAACAAGAGCAAAGATTCCGTTGTGACAGTCACTTCCACATTTTGTTCCATCCCGCATTCATTGGTACTCTACTTATTTGACTTCATATATCTCACTCACGTTTACGCAGAACTATCAACCACTCGACATGGCTTCGTCCAGCTTCGATGCGCAAACCCTCACCGCTGCGGACGTGCTTCGTCTGCGACAAGTTGTCTCCGCCTCTTCAAGAGGCGGAGACAATCGACAAAACTATCAGCGCGCTCAGAGCGCAGCTTGTCCATCTTGAAGACCGTGAAAAGCTCATCCGGGAACAGCTATCCACTGTCATCTTTCCCGTCCATACGCTTCCCCCCGAGATTTTTTGTCGCATCTTTGGTGCCATGCTATCCTCGACGACCCCTCAAAAAGTGAACGCTATGTTGCTCAATATTACCGCGGTCTGTCAGCAGTGGCGCCGGATCGCAATCGCCGACCCCAATCTATGGACTACGACGTGTTATTTCCTGGAGGGTCGTGATAACCTCGACCTTGTCTTTCGTCATTTCTTGGACCGCACCCAAGGGCTACCGATCTCGGTTCACGTCGACGCACGCGGAGAAGGCTGGCTCCCGCAGCACCTGTTCGACTCCTGCCGTCAGTGGAAGGAGGCCAATCTATCTGCCACCCGGAGCCACGATCTGCACCCACTAACAGCACTCGATCCATCAGACATCAGCCCAAGTGCATTGGATTTTCCACATCTTGAGAAACTTCACCTCAACCTCGGCACCTTGGTTTACCATCGAAACGACCAGATGTTCACCAGCGCGTCGCGTCTCCGAGACCTGACAATTGCCGACGTAACGTTGATTTCCGACCTAGGATTTCCTGCGCACCAGCTGCGAAAATTGACTCTCCTCTACCGCTACACACTGAGCAATCTCCTCTCCCTTCTACCCCGGCTCGTGGAGCTTGAGGAGCTCGTGCTCACCAATGAGTTGATCGACATTGACAACGAGCCAGAAGTCCGGGTCGAAATTCCCTCTTTGACGACCTTGCATCTCCTCGGGGACGACACCTGCGCAATCATGGCCTATCTGCTTCTCCCGCGCCTCCAAAGTCTCCATCTCTCTGGTTTCGATAGCTTCAACGTCGTATACCATCACATCCCGGAGTGTCTCTCGTGCTCCGCTGCCCCTTTGGTCTCTCTATCTCTCGAAAACACCAATTATTCCGCATTCAGCACCCTTCTGCAAAATATCGCTGCGGGCAGTATAGTAGTGGTATCAGGGAGCTCACGGTCGATTCGCTGCGACTGACGCGGCAGCGTGAGCACGAGGACCTCGCTTATCTGTTCTCCCGCGAAGACATTCTCCCAAACATGGAGACTCTCACGTTGGTAGGGCTCCAACCATTTCCGTGTACAAACGTTTGTACATGGTTATAACCGTTTTTATTTTCATTTAGTTTACCATGGTATGTAAATGGTAAATAAATGAAAACAAATGGTTTAAATGGTTATTCCCTAATAACAATAGCAGACATGCTCATAAGTATGTTACTACCAGGTATATATCTGGCTACCAAATACATACTAGTGTAGGACATACCTTCCACATAAATATAGATAATTGTTGCATTTGTAGGCTTCTTCTTGAAGGAATCCATCACATGATCTGGTATCAAATAAGCCAAAGGCAATGAATCTTGCCCTACATGCCCATCTAGAACAGTATTACAAGTGAGAAAATAGGGGAGTTCACGGTAGGTGGGCAAAACACTGGGCAAAGAGTTGGGCAAGACTCTGGGCAAGTAAATATTTTATTGCTTGCCCAAAATCTTGCCCTGGGGTGTTCATGGTAGGGCAGGGCAGAGCTAATTAAATATATTATGCAAGTGTGATCTATGCCCAGAAGTGTGACTATCTTATCAATCTGATCTATCTCTCTTGCCTCTTGCCACCTCTGCTGCTGGTCCGATGCCCCAAAAGACTGAGCGGCAGCGCGACACTGATGAGATCTTGGAGATGATTGGGATTATGAAGGTCCTGGAGGCCTTCCAGGAGCTTGAGGATGATGAAGACGACACAGAAGATGCAGCCACTGAGGATGACGAGAGCATACCCATCTCCACCATGCTCACCATGGGTCTTGTTGCACTGCATGCCCAACGCTATCTCAATGAGCGCCGTGTCATTCCGAAGGGCAACATTCTCTCGGTGCTGCTTGAGGACTGGAAAACGGGCTTCCCCGACTTCTTTCGATCCTATCTGTGTGTCACCCCGGCTACGTTTGATGCCCTACTGCATGCGATAGAGGACGACCCTGTATTCCACAACAACTCAGACACAGCAGAACAACTTGCGGTCAATTCACAGCTCGCCGTTGCCCTCTATCGCTTTGGCCATTATGGCAATGGCGTCAGTGTTCGCAAAGTCGGTCTCCAACTTGGACTTGGATTCGGAACGGTTGTCAAATCAACTCGCCGTGTTATCGCAGCCCTATGCCGTGATCGAGTTCGCAAGTCCGCGATCCGCTGGCCTACCAATGAGGAGAAAGAGAAGGCAAAGGAGTGGGTAGAAGAGCACTCCTGCCCTGCATGGAGAGATGGCTGGCTTATGGTGGATGGAACACTTGTCCCACTCTTTGCTCGTCCAGGACATTTTGGGAACAACTGGTTTGACCGCAAATCAAACTACTCTCTCAATGTCCAGGTCTGCACCACTGCCTCTGATTGTGTCCAGCCAACTCACCCCTACTCCCAGCTTATCACCACACCAGATTTACGAATTGTCGACTACGGAATTGGCCTTCCCGGCAGCCAGCATGATGCTACAGCCTGGAAGATGACTCGGATTCCCAATGAGTTCGTTATCCTGCTTCCAAATGGCGAGTGGATCTGGGCGGACTCTGCGTACCCACTTCAACTCTGGCTTATGGCTCCATACAAAGCGTAAGCTTCTGTCAAACAATTGAACTTGACACTTACCTGCGCTTCAGGCCTATGAAATTTGAAGACTGGAATGAGGTCTTCAACTACTATGTGGCGAATGTCCGTGTTCGCTCAGAGCATGCGGTTGGCTACCTCAAGGGCCGATTCTGCTCACTTCGTGGGCTTCGCCTAAGAATCGACGATCAAGAGCACATTGGTTTCGCCACCTACTGGATTATTGCATGCATGGTTGTGCATAACTTTGCAATGGTCCATGAGCGCAACATTGATATGGATGCTGATGCATTTTTCCTTGAGGGTTTGCAGCATGTTCAGGCAGAGGCGGCTCAAGAGGCTGCAGCAGATGCTGATGCTCGTGATATTGAGCTTGCGGCAGCAGAGGAGCGCCCGTTGCGAGATCAAGGAGATGCTATTCGAATTTTTACGTACAGAGAATACTAACAACGAGGACGATGTATTGTAGATACATAGAATCATTCATGGTACGCTCCCGAGAAGTCAAAAGCAGGTCCATACCAATCTTCGGCTGGCTGCTGCTGCGTCTGCTGCGTCTGCGCTCGTGCCTTGATCATCTCCAGCTCTCGCTGATGTGCCCGCTCCCGCTCATGGGCTTGAAACTTCAACATCTCCATCTCAGCATTGTGCTTCTCCCGAATCAAGCGCCGTTCGTGGTCAAACTTGGCATCGAGTGCTTGACGCTTTGAGTCGCGTTCTCCTTGTAGTAGCCCAGCAAGTGTGTCCATGGGTCCCTTGCGCTTGGTCACAGTAGGTGGCGGAGCAGCTGGCCCTTTTGGCTGGATTTTTGGGCGGGGTGTGGTAGCAGCAGGGGGGCGTGCTGGTGCTGGTGCAGCACGAGGTGCAGTGGGTGCAGCAGGCTTGAGTGGAGTCGATACAAGGGCAGGCGGGGGGGCTACCGAGGTCCGATATGTCGTTGTCGTCATTTGCATTGCGATCGGCCGCAATTTCCTGCAGTTCTTCTTCGTCCAAGTCACCGAACTCACTGCCTGGAGGCGGGCCCTCTGAATCCATGGCCATATCGTCAATCTGGAGGCTCAATTTCAGTATAGTGAATTATAAAGACACTGTGTACGCACATCTGAGGTTCCACCATGCCCGAGCATCAAGTCGAGCCCCTCGTCAAGTGATGTCATACTGTTCGAGCAATGACGCTGGTCGGCAACAGGGCTGCCGCGCATAAGCTGCGCCATGCGCAGGAACCACGGATACTTGCTCAGCACCTGTTCTATCATAAGTCAGTCAACAGCATAGCAAGAAAAACCATTTGCGGCGCACCAAGTAGATTCGCAGCATCATCTGGCAGCTCTCCCGCTCTCCCATTCTCTACTAAACCCGCACCCGTTTGCGTAAATCTCGCCAGCTCGCGTGTTGTGATGCCCCGCATGCTGAAGGCATTTTGTCAGCAAAGAACAGCTACGAGAGATGGTAACACACGCTTTAAGCCGACCGCGGACCTGGGAGACAAGGTTCTCTGGCGGAATGTGAGCCCAGCGCGCGTCGCAGGTGAGCGTCTTTTCCGCAAGCCGTTTGTGGTGGTCTACGGGTCTTGCAGCGGTTGAGTGGCCGGCGTTGGGCCCGTCGCCTTTTGTGAAGCCCAGCGCAATTCGGCGGGCCTCATTGTTCTCGATGTGGGTGATGAGGGTCTCCGAGAGAGCTGGTTCGTGCTTCCAGCTGTGTCAAAATCAGTAAGATGACAGCACAGAAGCAGATACGTACGGAATGTCAGTGACACTTTCTGTCATCCCATCTGTCTTTTCCAGCTTCAGAACAGGTGGTGTCTCGTTGGCCTTGCTGCTTCTTGCTGCCTTTGTCAGCGGCTTAGGTTTCGGGGTGGTCTTGTTTTTTGACCCTTTTGGGCGGCCGGCTCGGCGTTTTTCGGGCTCCGGTGTGGTGTCTGAGCCCTGTGCAGCACGCAGCTGAGCTTGCAGACGCGCAATCATTGTGTCCTTGTCCGAGTCCGCATCGGACACAGACATGGCGTCGGCGATGGCAAAGGGAAGTTTTCGGTGTGATGTGCCGCGTCAGTCACGAAGCTTAGATAATAAGTTCTGCCTTGCCCAGCGAATAAAAGTTGCCCGCCGAATTTCGGTGTGCAAAGGCAAGAAATAATTTATTTATAATTTCCTAACGTTTTGCCCACCTGTTTGCCCACCCTAGCGTGAACTCCCCTAATGCCATCTGTCAGTTGAATAAACCTTATAAACTCAAGTATGTACCATAAAATTGTTGATCATTTTATATTATTATATTACCATTTTTAACCGTTTTTAAATGGTAATAAACGTTTACTAAACGTTTTCTTACCATTTCCGTTTAGTTTACATGGAGGTGTAAATGAAAACTAAATAGTTGGAGCCCTACATGTTGGCCACACCCGCCGCCCGCGACGCCTCCCCCGTTGCTTCTGCGCCCGTTCCTCGATGGCATCAGTCAGCGGGTGGCCGATGCATCCCGGCATGGTCTCGGGCACGAAAGCAAGCTCCGGCGCCTGCTCGTCGAGCCGCTTACCCCAACGGCGGTGGCTGAAGAGGATCTACACGCGCTGCGTGATCTTCAGCAACGTTTGAGTGTCCACGACTGAAAGAGTTGATAAAATGTACTAGATGTACAGTATATTGCAACGTTTATGATATACTTTATCGAGAATATCTAGGCGACAGCAGAACATAGACGGAAGGAAATGGAGACAAAGTTTTATTACATGCATCGAGGAGAAAAACGGAAGACGATGATGACCGTTTGCTGTCCGAGACAAGAAATATATAGATATACACCGATATATATACTCAGGCTGATAGAAATAAAGCTGTGAAGTACGTGTATGGAAACAAAAAATCCTCCACAACAGCACGTATGCAGGCAAGAAAGGCCTCCGTCTCATCGTGCATAGTCATACATATACTCCGAGGTCGCGACGACAACCCAGCTGCATTCGTGAATGTCAAGTCGGATTTTAGAGTGCCTTAGAGGTGCGGAGGGAGGATCGATGAGCGGGACAGACAAACAGTGTGCGGTGCTAGAGACCGACATATTTGTGCTAGCCAATGGTCGTCAGCTGGGTCATGATCACAGTGCGTGGACGGGACACGCACCAGTACGACGCCCATATTCACCATCTTCCACGTTAGTCTTAGAGGCACCTGCCGGTGGAAGTGCGGCCTGAAGGATGATATCATCGTCAGCCACGGTGTTTCCCGAAACACAAGGCCAGCGACATACCCAATGAGTCCGTCATCCACCACAGGCGGACCCCGCGGCGTCTATCAGGTTTCTCCGGCGCAGCATCGTGTCTCGCCCCCCTCCGAGTCTCCGCGGGCTGATGAGGCAGAGAAACGAGTGGAATCTGGCTGGAGGGACAGCTCCCTAGGCCCCCTTCTTGCCCGAGTGCAGCCCGCGGTCAGTCGGGAAGCAGTGTGTCGGCGCGGGACGCACATCGAGTCCTGCCAGTGGGAACGCAGAGCCGCCCAACGGGCTCTGCTGCTGCATCCTGAGAATGGTCAGAAAGAAAAACCGGGCAGAGTCTTTGCCCCACGCACCTGTCGAGGAACCATGTCGCGCCCTATTTTTACTCTAGACCATCTGTGGGAGGGAGGGCCGGTGCGTTACGGATGCCGAGTGGCAACGACCAAGATGGCGAAGAAGAGAAAGTGCAAGCAATTTGTGACTTGTGACGCATGGCACCTTCGCACTGCGACTCCATCCCGGCACTTGTCCCACTGGGTCGTAGCAATGTTCGTCAGGTCGTCAGGTCCGCCATCTTCGTCAGGTTGATGGGGATCTTCGTCAGGTGTCGTAAGTACCCTTGAGTTTTCGTCAGGTCGTCGCTGAGTAATCTATTATTTGATCAGCGGAACGAATGATATTGAACCCACCCTGCCGGGGGCTTCGCTCCGCCGCGGGGCCCGCTGCGCGGTGCGTCCCCCCCCTTCCTCTTTCTTGTTTGCTCACTTTTAGGCCGTCTTTGCTTTGGGTTGCGCACCCCGGACCCCGACCGAGGCTTCGCCCCGGACCCCACCCTGCCAGGGGCTGCCGCTCGCCGCGGAAGCCCGCTGCACAATTCTCTTGGCAACTGACGAAAATATCAAAAAATTCATCAAGGATCTGCAGCGGAATGACACCTGACGAAACTCAGCGACCTGACGATCTGACGAACATGGATTTCGCCCTGTCCCACTTTCATGGTCCACACGTCCACCTATGCAGCGGCAGCAAAATGAGAACCGCATCCATGCCCTCAACGCGGACAACCTCCCGCCCGAGTTGACGCGGCAAGTTCCAGTTTTGGTCCCTCAAAACCGCGCTCGTCTGCGATGTGAGGCCGAAAACATTGATGAAGCGATCAGCGCGCTCAGGGCGCAGCTCGTCCGGCTGGAAGAGCAGCGCAAGGCCATACGCGAGCTGCTATCCACCGTCATCTTCCCCGTCAACACGCTTCCGCCCGAGATTTTGTGCCGCATCTTTGGGGAGACGGTGGCCTTGACCAGGCCAGAGAGAGTTCCGTCCACGCTGCTCAACATCACCGCCGTCTGCCGCCAATGGCGTAGGATAGCCGTTACCGAGCCCCGCCTGTGGACGACGACGTGCTATCTCCTGGGTGGTCGCTCATACCACCGGCTGTTCGACCGTTTCTTGGAGCGCACCCAGGGGCTCCCGATCACCGTTCACATAGACCAACGCACAGGCACCTGGCTGCCACCACACCTGTTCAACTCCTCCCGCCAGTGGCGGGAAGCGAATCTATCTATGAGGCCAGTTATCACAAAAAATTATTTGCTTGTGGTTTGTGGTTTATGACTTATAGTTGTGTTCACTTTCTGTGGTTGAGGCCATCTTTGTGCTTGTGGCATATATGGTTGAGGTTTTCATTTCCGTGGTTAAGGTTTTGATTTGTGTGGTTGAGGTTTCAGGGCTGTATTGTAAGTGTCTAGAAGCTAAAATTCAGATTTCCATCAGATTCAGATCAATTCATCAATGCTCTACAACAAGTTAATACTCTTTGCAAAACTCCAAAGTCTGGAAAGCTTTACTTACCAGGTGATTTATCTGGGGATCTTGCAGTTCAAATGTTTGAGGCTCTCTGAAGCTTGGTGAGACCAGGAGAATCTAGATATGTAGAAGGTAGTTGCCAAGGGGGTCCCAACTTTCGAAAATCGGATATACCGTCGAAAGGTTTTTTTCAGGCCATCTGGGACCCCCCCCCCCCCCCTTACCATATGGGTAATATATTCCCATGATTGCACATCATGTGACCTGTTGATGCGATCAAAAGCGCCGATAAAATACACATTTTGAGTCACATTCAGTAATCTCCTCTTACTTATGAGTAATATATAGGTCTTGAGGCCTTATAGAGTCACTAGTAGACCATCCATGGCTATTTGTAATCAATGAGCAATGACATATTCATGACACCAGTCACACTG